CTAACCCTAACCCTAACCCTAACCCTAACCCTAACCCTAACCCTAACCCTAACCCTAACCCTAAACCCTAACCCTAACCCTAACCCTAACCCTAACCCTAACCCTAACCCTAACCCTAACCCTAACCCTAACCCTAACCCTAACCCTAACCCTAAACCCTAACCCTAACCCTACACAAATGTTCTCATGAGCTACTTTTAACAAAGAACGATGAAAGCAACGGGCTCGCGGCACGGCGGAAGCCCATAAATATGATCTCCGACCCCGGAGAAGAGGCATGTGGCACACGGTCGTTCAAACAAGGAATGCCACTGTATGTAATGTGCTTTCCATCGCATAGTGATTGTAAAATGGCATCTTACCACGTTAATAAGAAGAACCGTGCTGTGCAGCTATTTTTGAGGGATTTCTTGATGGGCGTCCGAGTCAGAGGCCCATTAACGTGAGCACTCAACAATCTCCGATCCTCGGAGGATAGGCCGTGGCACATGGGCGTTCCAGGAAGCAGCGCCATTGCACATAGTGTAGGCTTCGTCACGTATTTTTCGTCAGTTAGCTCGAGCACAGCGAGATCAATAGCAGTCCATTACACGATCTTTATTGTCACGAATATAGTCACCTAATCAGACGCGAGTATAAGGATGACCTGATGGTGCTAAGGGAGCAGGAGCTCAGCGATAGGAGGTTAAGAGAGCCGGTTTACAGCGTTGCACCTATATCCTTAATGGGTCCTACAGTCTGTATCACGATGTGCTGATCGCTATTGTGTCATGTCATGGTTTGCGTCCACCTTATTATTTTATGTGTCATAGTGTTATAAAATAACAGGACTGGCGTCGACGAGTGTCTTTGGTTGTCTTTGGTGGTCTTTGGTTGTCTTTCGTTATCTTAGTACGAGACTCTAGGATGAATCATTGGTACATATTCTCAGGGAGAAAAGTGGTTGTACTGAAGAATTTCTTGAATTAATTGGATACTGGGTTACCCGCAGCGTTTTTGGTTTGTTTATTGGCATCAAGTTATGGGCCGTAGTTGACCTAACCTTTTGAACTGAATAAGAAATCTGGAAAAGACACTGATCGACGACCTATCTCTAGTGCAATTGGATTCGGAGAGATAGAGGTCTGGATTTCATTGAATCTCTCTGGAGTAATTGGATTTGCAGAGATTCATGACTGCTTTAATTGGTAACTGGATTTGCTAGATTGAAACAGGAATTAATTTGATCTTGAGAATTTGTATACGGCTGGCCAGGATTATAACTTTACAGTCATGGGAGATATGGATGACTACAGGATGGCAATCTTCAGTTGAAGATTGGAGGACTGGGATAATTGGAAAAGAGATATCGAAAGCCTCATAGGAGCAAAGGACCCAGAAATAGCAGATATCATTGTTGGATTAACCAAGTCACCCTAACCCTAACAGAAGAGGTAAAATCTTGTGATGAGAAGAATGCCAAGGGTAACTTCACGCTCAAGAAGTACCTGAAAGGAGCGGCAGCGAATCTTACCGGAAAATTCCGCTTGGATAAAGATGGAGCTGGTGCGCTTAAAGCACTCACAGACAAATATGAATTGAGAGGGGAAACGCAAAAAGCGTTACTCATGTCTGAATTTAGTCACCTTACCTTCGATGAGAATGGTGACCCAAGTGAGACTTTTGAAGCAGCGGAAGAACTTGCCAGAAAGATAAAGCATCGATTCGATTTGGAAATCGATGAATCTATGCTACTGACTCACTTGATTAATAAAATTACATCGGCATATGGAATGGTAAGAGTGAGTTTGGAAACTCAAGATTCTATGACGTATCCTAATTTGAAGCCCAAAATGATCAACCATATTGGGACGAATCTAACCAATAAGGTCAAGAATGACCAGTGCTTAACAGGTAATTTTAACGGGTACTGCAATTGGTGGAGAAAATACGGGCATAAAGAACAGGAATGCCTCGTAAAGAAAAATGGTGGAGGTCGAGTAGGACCTCCTAACAATGGAAAATAGATTCGGCCGGTATGAGTGTGTAGGTGGCAAACCCAACAATGGCCCTGGCAAAGGCCGGCGCAATGATTTCGGACGGGGTAATGGAGGCCGTGGAGGCCGTAATGGAAGTTGTCGTGACAAAGGATTGCACGGCGGAAATGGTTATATTATAGCGGTGAACACTGCTATAATATGAACGAATGAGTTGCTTATTCGATAACCTAAACGTAACGGAGCCCCCTTCGATTTCTAGCTCCCTGAAGCGTGCTCTCTCTCTTGGCCTAAGACGCTTTCTCTAAGTAGCCGACGGCATCCGCGGCTCTTGTGCAGGAAGGCAAATTTTATCAATTTAGTCATCTCCGCATGTACTATAAGGTACAAGATCACTTGAAATAAGTCGTAGTGCTTCTTCCTTCCTTCCCGCTTCTCTGATTCCTCTTTTACAGGTGGCTCGACTTGTCCGCAAGGTTCTCTGGCTGCACGTACGACCTTGCCCCGCACGCGTGCAAGTCAGGCTCCCCTGGCGAGAGCCACCAAACATTCTGCCAGCGCATATTCAGCCAGGCAATCAGCTTTCCGAAGCCCGACCCTCGCGTAAGGATGCTTCAGTCCGTTTTCGCCAGATCCATTATGTCTGCTGCTGCTGCCGCCAGGCTCTCAGCGATTTATTAGCTCTCATTGGCGTTGATCAGCCCGTTCTTCTCACAGAGGAGGGGTCCACTTGGCTTAGTGGAAGTGATGACCGTACCCGAAAAGCCATGGAGAGAACTTGCTTTTTTCTTGCTTCCCGGAGGCCGATGTTCAAATCAGAGGTGCTCAGATACCAGAGTGCTAATTGAAAGACCATTTGAGGACATGTAATACATAACGTTGATTGAAGAGGTAGGTCCATTCTCTAATATCATCCTTCTATAGTTGACGTGACTCTTTAAAATGCTCTCCCAAAAGTTGAACTTTGATCAGGCTATGTGGACAGTGTAAAGGCTCGTTTTCCTTTGCGCGATAACATAATCCCTCCTTTGCCTTATCATGAGCGCCAAATCAAGTACCACTGTCGATTTGACCGATCAAGCGTGCCTTCATGGAGGAAAAGGTCACCTCCCAGATTAGACATGACTCTTTCAGTACTTTCGCCGTTCGGATACCATGACTTATAGGTGCCTAGACAAAATGGGCCCACCACGCGTCAAATGTTTATCATCAACCGCACACAAGAAACGCTAACCCTAAAATTGCGGTCATAAAGGAGGGGGTAAGAGGTTAATCTTTTTGTTGTCATCTTGCTTTTTCTGGGTCGTACAAATCTCCAGTCATACTGCTTCTGGGCCGTGCTGCGTTCCTCGTGTATCTTTGGCTTCAGATTCCCCTTAAAATTCAAAGAGCAGGTTCAGCCATTTTATATTCATAGTGTCATCGCCATCCTTGACCAGCATTGCTACTGTCGCCGCTAGCTCTCGCCTCGTGCTTTCGCTTATCATTCTCTCTCCAGGGGGGAGGGCCCTGCTCTTTAGAGCATTCTTGCTCAATGGTATTTTCTGATTCTAGTTCTTCTTCATCTTCGTACACGTCCCTGAGCCCTTCCTCTTCTTGAATTGCCAAAAACTCATCCTGAGTCGCCCACAAGTCTGCTCGACGCCGGCATTGGTGATATGCTTGGACGAAGCCTACTCCTCCCTGCACCTTGCCTCCCAGTAAAAGATCACGACATGGCCCATCCACACACTCCTTCAATTGTAAGACAGGTCGACAAGTTAGCAGGTAAGGCCAAGACTTCTGTGTCCCCTCTTTCTTGCTGCCATCCGCGGCGACGACCTCCATTGCCTTTTTGACAAGGTCTGTGGTGGCCAGACTGGTAGCTGCACTTGCGGCAAGCATGGAGCTTAGCCCGGTAAAGGAGACGACGGCGAATAAACGTGACGAAGGTCCAAGTCGCGTGGTAACAGAGCGGGCCAAGACATAGCCGAAAGCTCCTCCAATGAGGGAGTGTGAGAAAATCGTGAGGTTGTAGTCGCTGTACATGCTCTCGAGGGTCTTGTCTGTCGAAGACGGCGAGCTGGGATCCAATTGTGTCTCGAAGAATGTCCGAAGATTACGACCAATCTTTGTGATCTCAGTTTTATAGCGGTCCTCGCAACGCTTGAGTGTGTTTATAGCAGCATTCATGTCAACGGAAGGAAGGGATGAGGAAAATCTGGAAGCGGACTCTTCGTAATCGGAGTCCAACTTTTCAAGTCCAAGACCCTGACTCCTGGAAGAAGGCATATCACGGTCATCGCTCGTATTGACCATGATCGTGGAAATGAAAACGAGTTTAAAAGAGCCCGAGTTGATGGTATATGCAGCTGTATGCCCAACCGCTGCGTGTGCACGTCGTAGACAACCCTGTGTACGATGTGAGATAGCTTGAGGAATTGTCAATCGCAGGAGCATTTTATGAATATAGAATTTACTCTTGTTCCGTGGAAGTCGAGATAGGAGCATTTAATAACTGTGATACAGTCAAATACATTATGCTCGACAAGATCCTTGCGAGGAGCAGAACCGTCTCGCCGAAGCAGACTCAAGGGGAGGTGCCAAGGAATGAGCCGTCCTGATGATGGTTTCGATCAGCAACTGCACTTACTGCATTGTTTCTTCTGTCAAGATTCACGTCCACCCTGGAACCCTGGAAAATATTCCCATTAGATTTCTGGACGCGGGAAATCAGAAACAAAGAAGTCGTGCAGGGCAACGTTCTGCATGGAATAGAGTGCGCCAGTCTATTGTATAATATAGTCCTTGTTCAGGAGTAAACCGAGCAAATTCATCGTGATGACCCTTTCGAAATATTTTTTGGAAGCACATATATCCGTTCCAAGCTTGCTTTCATTGTCGTGGAGCTTTAATCGTTGTTATCTGTCTGACGAGCACTTCATCAGTGACGAGACATAGAAGCGACAGTACCCCGAACCTTCATATTATTCGTTACTTCGAAACAAAACAAGCATTTATAAGTAAATTTGTCAAGTGGAAAAGGAGCCAAAGGAGGAAATTGCAGAAATAGAATTATAAAGCCGCGAAAAAATATGGCCATAATCTGGTGCCGAGCGCTAAATTCTCTACAAGTCAACAGGCGTTTGCTTTCCTTCCGCCATATTTTTCATTTCTCCTTAGCAAGTAACCCTTGGTAGGGAAGTTTCTAGTACTTCAAATATTTTCGTACGCACCCAAACCTTCTTCCAAATAATGCAATCCCTGCATATCCTCCTCTAGTTCTTTCCACTCTCGTCGCTGGCCTCCCCTACCATCCACTTTTCAAATTTTAAACAAACGCACGCGAATGATTGCCTCCCACGAAAAGCGCCTTAAATCCATTATTCTTGCCCTTTGCGTATCCCATATCAAGTTCAACACCAATCCGCACCTGCCGCCCACGTTGTGAGAATTCTTTGCCTTTGACTTCTAGTAGGTGTAGTACTGATTCTCTGCAATGCCCTCTTTCTCGAAGGCGGGGATAACGGCCAGCTTGAGCATGGCCGGAGGGCCGCAAACAAGGTAAAAGGAAGAAGAGGAGGGTGGGGGTAGATTGTTCTGGCGAGGGCAGAGAAGGGGAGAGAAAGGAAACCAATCTTAAACAAGTGTTTCATTATCATGTCAGGATGTTATTTAAAAGGACACACGCGAAAGCGAGAAGAAATGAGCAGGGATGCGGACAAACCTTGATCATATCAGACGTGACGAAGCCTATCCCTTGCTTCCACTTGGTGGGCGGCCTGTCTAGCGTATAGTAGAGCTGAGGGGGCACGGACATGGGCAGTCGTTAGCGAGCGTGGTCGAGTCTAGACGTGGCGCACCAGATTCCCACAAGAGCATTCAAATGGCCAGCACCCACATGCATTCCTTCCTTATCTCCTTTCCGTCCCTCGTCCTTGCCTATCTCTCCAATCCTGCTCCCTTCGTCTAAACCGACCTTAAATCTGTCGGGGTGATGTTGCGCGATCTCTTCAAGCTCCTCCTGCAGCAGTATGTCGTTCTCCGTCTGGTTGGCATAGAGCAGCCAGACCTTGAGAGGAGCGAGGGATGGAAGTCCGAGGAGAGGAGAGAGGAAAGTCGCCATGAGGAAAGGCTTTTAGCACAGAAGCGATCATGGGCCGAAGGCCAAGCAACCTCGTTTCTCTTCCACTCCCTCCTTCCCTCACTCTCCCCCTTTCTCTCCCTTCCACCCGCTTCCCCCTCACCTTGGTCTTGTCGCCCTTATCCTTGAGCATTTCGCGGATGATCTGCAGCATGGGCGTGATGCCCGTCCCGCCCGCGATCATCCCCACCTTGGATACCTGAGGCCAGGGGAAGGAGGGGCGGGGGAGGAAGATGAGGGAGGGAGTCAAACACCTCCGAGACGCAGCAATGGAACAAAGAAATGGATGGCAGAGGGGAAAGCAGCATATGTTGGAGGGAGTACCGTTCTTGAGCTGAGCGCCCCGCGACTCTTGAGAGCAAAGTGGCCGCGACCCTGGTACGTGAGGGAGCCCTTGGGGCCTCGCATGAGGATCGAGTCACCTGCGGGAGGAAGGTGGGGAAGGGAAGAGGAAAGAAAGAAGAAGACAGGGAAGAGGGAGGAAAGGAAGAAGGAGGGGGAGAAGAGTGAGGAATCCAAGGTGACCGAGACGATGCGAGTCGAGGAGGAATGGTGGAGGAAAAGCGGGGCCGCGGGAGCGCTCCAAGAGGACAGGGAGGGACTCGCGCACCGAGCTGGAGGGCCTCCAAGTGCTGGCTCATCTTGCCGCCTTCCGGGAACTTGGGGTGAGTGTTGGCGAAGTAGACCTTGATGGCGAAGTCCACGTAGCCGAGGTCGTCGTCGGAGGAGATGGGCGTGTAGGAGCTGAAGGAGGTATGGGGGGGGGGGAGGAGAGGGGAAGGGAGGAAGGACGCGAGGGAGGAGAGACGAGCCCGGGAGGTGAGGGAATGGCCCTAGAGGCAGGGCCCCTTGCCCCACGCACCGTGTCACATCCTTCCCCTCGCTGTCCGTGTACTTGAGGGAGACGTGCTGGCCCACGGGCAGACCCAGCACATGCTGGGGCGACTGGAGGGCGAAGCGAAAGCGGCGGGTGTTGTGGGTCAGTTCCTCGCGCTCGACGAGCTGAGGGTAGGGTAGGAAGAGGGAACGCCTCGCATAGGTGAGACTATCTGGGGGTCTTCGGCCCCTTTTCTACAGTCATGCATGCAGTCACCGTCTGACGCCGGCCCTTCCCTTTTCACCCCACCTTGAAGGGAAGGTAATTATCCGGGTTTAATGCCACGGGACCCGAGGGTCTCTTCCTCTTCGGGTGACTAAGAGAAAAAACGAGGATGGAAGAGGGCGAGGGGAGGAGAAGGTGGAAGAAGGGAAAATGACGAACGGGTTTCGAGGATGTCAACAGGCGATAGGAGTCCACGTACACCTGCGCATTGAAAGCCATGCGCTAACTAGACGGTGACCACCCTAGCCTTACCTCTGCATCGTCATGATAGCCACTGTCGCCAGGACCACCAACACGCCTGCCGCAACAGCCACCCCGTTTTCCTGAAGCAAATGACAGCATCATAAGGAAAGAAAGGGGGATATTTTGACCACTCATGTAAAGACGAACATACTTTGCGAGAATCACGCTCAGGATGTATGATTCGGGGGCGGATGACATACACGGTGCCCCTCGCGCAAATTCATTCCTCCCTTAGTGTAAGTGTACCTGAAGAAATGGTGCGACTTGATCCATAACTGTGCTGTCCCTGTCTTCACAGTGGACCCTTTGACTCACTTTTCCCCTCTTCTCCTCGCGGGTCCGGCAGGAGGTCTCTAGTGTGTGCGAGACTGTCGAACCGCGTCTGTGCCTGGAGCAGATGCGAACGTCAGATCCAGATTTTCTAAAAAAAGAACTCATTGCATGCAAACATGCCTGGGTGTTTCGAAACAGACGTCATTGTCTGTCATCGTATGTCCAAATTTTTTTAACATTTCTCGAATCATCAGAGCGTGCTCGTGCCCGCGCCGCCTCATCCTACTTAAATGGATGGAGAACCCAAAAGGAAAAATCTTGAGCCTGGACGACGCTCGCGTCACAAAACGCATGCCGCACTTTTGAAGCCCCTTTGAAGCCCCTTTGTAAGCTGTATTGCTTTCAATCATCAGAAATTAGCGGCACATACGCAACATGGGGCGACAAGAGAGCAGTCGCCGGTCCCCCAAGCCATCCTCCTCTCTCGCCGTCCTACACGACGTCGATGCCGTCGTCAGGAGAATCTAGGTTGGCGCCGCGAGGGGAGTTTCTTTCTCCATCTGTGGAGACTCTGTACTAGGTGACGATCAACCGCGACTCTGTCAGACCTGACTTGCCTCTTACGCGTCTCGAAAGCTTACTGACTCCCCGCTCGCTTCCCTCTGCGAGCCTTCCCTACGACGAGGCCACCGAACACTTACCTCTCACCTATGGTGTTATTCTTCCCGTTTTTCCAACTCCGATAGCAGCCGCAAAAATCGACGAAGCGCCGTTGGAGTCAAAATTCTTTCTTATAGCTAGTACAGGCGGAAAGGGTTGGCGTTTGTGGGGACATAATTGTCTTTCAGCAGCCACAATTGCTGTCGCGGGGGGAGCAGGAGGTTAAGAAAGTAGATAAAATAAAGGAAAGGCGCTGGAAGGACTTTGCATCTTCATGCTTTCAGTCGTCTAGCTGACTTCTATAGTAAGATTGCATTTCTATAAATCGGCGGACTCCATCGTAGCAGCCAGGACATGGATGAGGACGACAAGGATATGGAGGAGGAGGAGTACGATTTCGAGTACAGCGACGAGGAGGTGGAGGAAGCCGATGTGGTGCTCGAAAACGCTTATTATGCTGGTATGTGAAGCGATGAACGTGGGAAAGGGAGGGAGAAGGGACAAAAGAATCGAGGAACAGGGAGATCGGTCAACGCGTCTGATAAAAGGGCCGAATGGGAAGTGGAAGAGATCTTTCACGACGTTCATGACCAAAACCAAGAACTCTCCGGCACTCGCATCGCCATCCCCCCAAAAACATATATTCTCATTCTCGATCCCTACACGGTCCAGCCAAAGGCCTCAAGGCTCAAGGGGACCTGGCGGGGGCGGTGGAGGGGATGCAGGAGGTGCTAAGGCTGGAGGCGGCGGGCGAAAGGGGGGAATGGGGCTTCAAGGCGCTGAAGCAGAGCGTAAAGATGCTCTTTGCCCTGGGCCAGTACGAGGTAGGGATGATGACTGCGGCATTTAGGAGGCATGGAAGGGAGAAAGAAGAGACCCAGGTCTGAAGCCGTCCTCCTCCTCCCTCTTTTTTTCCCCCGGCCTCTCTCTTCTCATTCCCGCCCAGGCGATGCTCGAGCGCTATGTCTTCCTTCTTGACCACTACACCGTGACGCCTGCATCCTCCCATAGTGCCAGGGCCGCAGTCACACAGGTGCCCACCGTCCTTTGTCCCCGTTCCTGTCACCGCTCTCTGCGTGTCTCGTCGTGGGGCCCCGCGGACGCCTTGAGACCTCTGCAATGGCCCCTGGCTCTGTCTTCTATGCGTTCTCATCCTCGTTTCCTCCCTTCCTCCTCTGCTTCCTCTCAGAACGTTGCGGAGAAGGGATTGGACTCCGTCCTGGACCTGGTCTCTTCCTCCTCCTCTCCCTCCCTCCTTCGCGCCCTCTACGACACCACCCTTGCACGGCTGGAGGGAGGGGAGGAGAGCGGGAGGGAAGGACGGGCGGAGGGAGGGGCGAGGAGAAGGAACCAGCGGCTTTGGTTTAAGACGAACCTGAAGCTCGGGCACCTCCTGCTAAGCGAGGCCATGCAGAAGGAGGGCGGTGAGCACAGGGCCTGGCGCCTTTCCTCTCCTCTCTTACCCCTTGTCTCGGGCTCGATACCGTCCTGCCGCGGCAGCCCACTCATTCTCACCCTCCACTGCCTCCTCTCTCCCTCGTTCCTCCCCTCAGAGGAGAGCGTTCGCCTCCTCGGTCGACTCCAGCGCCTCATCAAGGACCTGCTCAAGTCCTGCGAGGGCCCGCTGGAGGGGCCGGGAGAGGACGGCAGTGCGGGTGGGGACACGATCAAGCGGGGCACCCAGCTGCTCGAGGTGTACGCACTGCAGATGCAGCTTTTTGCTCTACAGAAGGACTCGCGGAAGCTCAAGGTCCTGCCCCTCCTCCCCCCTTCCCTCCCTCCTTTCCTCCCTCTCTCCCTCTCTCTGAGCGCCTCTGCGCCTGGAACGCGTGCTGCCGCCCAGGCCCTTCAACCCTTCGGCTCTGTAGCTCTCGCTCAGCCGCTCCTCTGGCTTGTTTCTCTCCTCTGCGCAGCATTGACGCGACCAATTCCACTCTCTTTCCCCCTTCCCCCCTCCCCTCCCAAACTCCCAGGACCTCTACAAGCTCGCTCTCGGCATCACCTGGGGTGTGCCCCACCCCCGCACTTTAGGAGTTCTCCAGGAGTGCGGCGGACGCATGTACATGGACGAGAAAGGCCAGTGATATCCCACGCACCATTATTTCTTCTCCTTGGGTCGCCGTCCCCTTGCCCCTTGAGAGGAGGGCGCCCCCCGCAGGCCCAGGCCTAACGTTTTCTTCCCTCCTTTCCGCTCCCTCCACTCCCTGCCCCTCCGTCACGCCCTCCTCAGACTACAACGCGGCCATCCAAGCCTTCTTTTCCTCCTTCAAGTGCTACGACGAGGCGGGGGATCCTCGGCGCTTCACCCTCCTTAAGTACCTCGTCCTCGCCTCCATGCTGCACGCCTCCACCATCGACCCCTTCGATAGCCAGGTGCGGGCAAGGAGGCTTGGCTTTCCATGCTCTTACCACACAACTGAAAGAAGTCATGCACCCTCACGGCTCCTCCTCGCACACCCCTGCCCCTCGTTCTCAGGAGGCCAAGCCCTACAAGGAGGAGCGGGAGGTGGTGGCCATGCGCAACCTCATCCTCGCCTTCCAGAATCACGACGTGAAAGCCTTTGAGACCATCTTGAAGGTGTTGGTCTGCCTCCTCCTCTACGCCCTGCTTCCGCCTTGTCCACGACCTCTGATTTCCCCACTTTCCTCTCTCCAGACACACCGACAGGCACTGACCAGGGACACTTTTGTCCGGGCCCACATCGATCAGCTTCTAATTACGATCCGCACACAGGTACGCATCAGACAATTATGCGCCTGCTCGACCGTTAAAGACATGCGGGAACGCCATGCTACCCTCATGCCTCCACGTCCTACTATCGTATTGGTGGACCCCGAATGGTCGCGGGCTGCTCTCCTAACTTCCCCCGCTCGTTTCCTCAGGTCATAACCAAGCTCCTTGTGCCCTACACGCGCGTTTCTTTGGCCCATATTGCTCGTGAGCTCAATGACATTCCCGAAGAGGACGTCGAGAGCCTGCTCGTGTCGCTGATCCTGGACGGCAAGGTAGGGCAAGGGGTTCGTCTCCTGCGGGCGGAAGAGAGGACGACATGGTAGGGGCCGCCGGTCCTGGACCCAGCCCTTTATCTGAGAAATGGGTGGGGATCGGTGGCCTGTGCACGGATCCAGAGCCTCACACGCCTTATGATTACCCTCCTTCCTCGACCACTGTCTCGCCCTCTCTTTCAGGTGGCGGGGTACATTGATCAGTTGCAGCGCGTCTGGGTGAGAGGAAAGGGGGGTGAGGGCAGAAAGATCTATGTTGGGGGAGTGGAAGAAGACACGACAGGCGCCGCCGCAGGGGGAATAGTAGGGGGAACACGACAAGTGGGTTGGTCGAAAGGCAAAGGTCGGAAAGACTACCATGCGATGGGGCAGCTGAGCGACGCGTTAAGGGCAGTGGTGGGGAGAAGAATAGGAGAAGGGAGGGTCATAGAAAGGGAGGGGGGGAACTAGAGAGTAGGACGGCGAGCCTCAAATGTACAGGTCGACCCCGCAACATCAGTGCACCGTATAAAAATGTTTAAGTAAATAAGATGGTTGACAGGGGGTCGCCAGGCTCCTATTCATTTCTTTCACGTAGCCTCTCTCCTTTGCCTCTTCTATATATATACTCTATAGCTTTCCGCAAACGTGCCACATGCCTCTCTCCCTACTACGCACATCCCCCCAGCACTTCTATCCGTTCCAGCCCGGGCCCGTCCAAGCACACCTCTGTGCCCCCGACTCTCATCTGAACCTGCTGCCCTCCCTCCCCGCCTCCCTCCCGCCCTCCCTCCCCGCCTGCCTGCAATCGTGCCTTGGTCATCGTTGGGGATTCGATGACCGCTTCCGCCTCCGTGCCCTCGCCCTCTCCCTCCGCCAGGATACTTTCCAAGGCCCGCCTTGTCCAGGTGTGTCCGAATCGCTCCGCTACGTCCACCGGCGTCTCGTGCCTGGCATTCTCGGCGGCCCCACTCTCAGCCCCCCTTTCCGGACCATGCAGGCAGCCATCCGGGGAGAATTAAACATGGCGGCCAGATGCAAGGGAGTCATGCCTTCCCGGTCTCGTCCCTCCAGCAAGAGTCCTCTTCTCCAACCCTTCTTCCAATTCCCCGCCTCCCACTCCATGCTCGTGAGCCATTCCACTACTTCTTCCTTCTTGTACATGACGGCCAGGTGCAGTGCATTCCTCCCCTCATTATCCACCGCCTCTATTTCTAGCCCTCTCTTCCCCCCTCCCTCCCACAGCGCTTCTAGTCCCAGCACATTCCCACACACGGCCGCCTCCAACCAGGGCGTCCTCCCAATTGCCGTGCGAGTGTTCCATCCTCCTTCCTCCATGAGCCCCTCCGCCAGCCGCGATAACAGGGCGGGAGCAATAAATGCATTGCTCTTTCCCCTTCCGCCCACTACAAGGTGAAGAAGGGTCTCTCCGTACGCATTTTTCACGCTTTGCTCCCATCCGGCTTGAAGAAGCCTCTGGAGCATGGGCCAGTCCTGGAGGCGCGCGGCAAGCAGCAGCGCATTGTTGCCCCGATTGTCGAGAAGGCAAAGTTGCTTCTCCTCGCTTAGGTCCAGCAGCTCCTCTTCCCTTGTCACGGCCGCACTATGATTCAAATCCTTCCCTTCCTGTCTCCCCCTTGGCCAAAGCCCATACACGTTCAAGATCTTCAAAAGCCGCGTGCCCCCTTCCCTTTCCTCTCCTTCGTTCTCTTTATCCTTCTCCATCTTCGGCTTCAGAGGATAAAAGGAAAATGTCGATGCATTTGCCTCTTGCCCATTTCTTCTCCTTCCCCGTCCGTTGTCTGTTTCTGCGCTGGCCGGAGTGCGCAAAGAGGTCAGGAACGGGGAGCCTGCGCCTAGAAGTGTGGATGCCGAGGAAGATTGCCGTCTTCGCAGCAGCTTCCATCCCCTCCCCTCGCGACCCGAGGACGAACAAGAAGCACTTGTGTCTCCGGGACTGTCCATATCAATCGTGCGTCGGGGCGTGGGCGACTTTACAATGCTGCCAGCCCCTGTAGCGACTCGGAGGGCACGAAGGAGGGGCGACGTTAACAACTGTTTGGGCGATAAAGAATGTGCCGCGGTAGACCTGCTGTCGACTGGCAAAGGTTGTTCCAATGAGGAATTGTCATAATGGCTAGCTCCATTGTTGCTATCATCTTCTGCAATGTTTCCCTCCCTCATCCCCTCCTCCTCCTCTTCGATCTCCGCGTTGTAGCCGGCATTCCCTTGATTAGTGACATCTTCTCCCATTTCACTCATCATAGCGGTTTCTTGAGTAGCATTTGAATCATTTTCAAAAGAGTTTATTGCAAAATACTCTCCTAGATTCTCAATTCGCTCGACGTTTTCCCCTTGCATCTGCTGAGCTGGCATTGTTTGGTTCCCAAACGTAAAAGCACCCGGATAATGGTCTCGGCCTCGGAGCTCACTTATGATGCTTGTCTCGCGTGTAACACTCACTGACATCTTATACAGCTGTGCGCATGAGAGAGAAGAACGCGTGAAACCGGGGAAGATAGGGCAATAGGTCCTCATTGAACTCGAGGGAAGCTATGGATAGCTGAATCATATTCGAGAGAATATTGACATCGTTTGCTTCTGGCGAAGCACAGCTTTTTTCTTGGTAAAGCCTTAATGTGATTACATTAAATTTTGCGTGACACATTTTGTTTATTGGCACAGGGCTGGAAATGCTCCACACAGGATTATGACAAGAAGTAAGGACACGACAACCCTGATATTACGTCATGGCTTTTGCTTCACAAAAACATAGCATTAAATTGCTCCACGTGTCGATTGCGAAAGCCTCTGAAGTCTTAGAATAGCCGGAGACGTTGATGAGGGACAGGGAGACATGCTCTCACAGGGAATTAATGAAGGATCGAGCTAAATACGTCGAAACCGTTTACGGCCGTTGAATTTGAAGGTTCAAATCAATGCCCTCCGAGGGCAAGCGAGACAGCTTACTTTAAGTGTTGCTGCTTTCCTTTTTATTCATCTCGAGACTCCTCTTAAATTGATTTTTATTTCTGTAAAAAGAAATCAGCTTTCATAAAAAATAATCATGGGTGCAAACTCTTGCCCCCGAAAAGACATATTTTCCTGTTTGATTTTACACGGGCACAGAAATCATGTTCCGGGGTTCGGATGTATCAAAGATTTATTGTCTCTCCGATTCTTGTATATTATTTCATGTAAATTGAAGAGAAGAAATAAGAAACTCTCAGAAAAGTCAAAATAAGTGTGGGACATAAATATTGAGGAGATCCTTTTTGACGCCGTTAGGCTTGGAATGATACACAATGCTTTTGTTTTATGTCCTTTTGTAATTATTGCGCAAATGAAGTGGTCGGTCCCTTATCATTCAAGGATCATCTCATATAGCATAGGTCAGTCCTCACAAGCTCATACAAGCCGCTTGCGCAAGTCTTCTCACCGTCTTTCGTGCGATTTCTCTACCTTTGCTACAAATTTATCCCTGATCCGACGCTTCCTCATTTAAACATCAGCTCTTCTCGATGTAGTTATCGAGCGACTTTCATGTAAATGTTTTTCACCTCCATGTTTAAACTTGCATGCACTGGAATTCCTGCTTCTTGAGTGCGCATGACATCTATCAGGCGACCTTAAATATTGAAGTCATCCGATCCCACGATAAGTCATAAATATCTGACCCATCAAGTCAAAGAGCGCTCAAAAATTCAAGATTCCAGCAAAGTCATCAGCGGTGCCATTTCTTGGCGAATCCCACACCTTGTTTCCCCTCTTCCGCCTTCTTCGAATTACGCAGTAAGACGAAAAGATTTGCCCACCACACCGGCATGTGTGGAGATAGTGCTGATACTTTCGGAACTCTTCACCCTCTCTTTTCTGGGGTCTCATCTTTTCTCCTTCCATCTTCTTAGGAGTGGGATAGAATGTCTCCATAGCAATGTAGGTTTCAATAGAAATAATGTAGGCTAAGGGTATGATGTATCCTCCTCTCAGCCCTCACACTATCAAGAATCCCCTTGCTCTCCATTTGCCTTCCCTCTCTACCATGATGTATAAGCCTGGCTCACAGCATTTCATCCTGATGAGTCTTCTTCTCTCATCTTCCCATATGCATTTCTCCGGCTTCTCTTTATGGTCGCTTAGCTCTCAAGCGACTCACAAAACCCCTTTTGTTCCCCTTTTCTACCGTTCATCAGTCGCCTTTCTTCACAGAATTTCAAGTCGTTGCCGCTTGATTTGACCATCTCCCCACACGTTATCTTCTTCCTTATCATCGTCGACAAGATCTGTCAGCATCTCTTCTATGGCCGTTGACGACGCGCTCATCATCATCAGGTGCATCATGTTAGAATCATCATCCTCTTCCTCCCTCCTCCCTCGTTTCAGGGTTTTACCTCCATCTCTTCTCTCTTCCCTCCAGGATCCAAGGCTGCTGCCTCTGCCGCTAGCCTTGTCAGTGTGCTGGTGCTGTCCTTCCGCCTGGGAGCAGGGCGGCAGCACTTGCTCAGCCGCTCCAAAGGCTGTCAGGAAGTGTTGCATGAACACCCCTCCTTCTTCTCTCCCTTCCCCTCTTTCTTGCTCCAAAGGAGTATTATTTAACACTTCAAGCGGCTCCTTTCCCTCTCGTCCTTCTGCCTTCAGCGTGTCGTGGGCCGATCCGTAGAGAGGAGGAAGAGAGTCAGAGAGCGGCACGGAGGCACCAGGAGCGTCCTGTTCGCCTACTAGTCGTGCAGCTTCCCACCCTTGGCTGTCCAAGGAGACATGGAAGAGGTCCTAGAGGGGCAGGAGGAAAAAGAAGAAAAACGCACAAGAGTGGGAAAAAGCGCAGGGATTATTTTAAAAAAGTGACGACCGTGTAGTAGCTCAATGGTTAGTCTATTCGTGAGACTATGTTGAAAATGCCCGTGCATCCTTCGATTCTATCTCCAACGACTGTCATTCACGTCTTTCCTACCTGGGCCTCTCCCTGCGCAAAGAATAAGTCGTCAACCTGCGGGCCTTGCCCCGCCTCCGACGCAAGTCCGCTGCAGGGGTAAGGAAAGGTAAAATCGGAGAACGTAAAATGGTTAAGCAATGCCCTGACAACCGTTGGGTGCCCCCGGAAAAACATTTTCACAAGAAAGTTTTCCCTCTCCATTCCTCCGTCCATTACGTACTGTGGCTCGCCGGGCATGTCAATGCTCAAGGAAGAACCGGACCCAATACCGACGTCCTTTGCACGCAGGTGTGCTCCTTCCCGGGCCCCCGCGGCCGCTTCCCTCCGAGACTTTTCGTCCGGTACGGCGAGCGTAGGAGTCGACGATGGAGGGAGGAAAGAAGAAGAGGGGGAGACGGCGGGCTTTGGCTGCAGGAGCCCCAGCTGGGAAAGGTAATCTTGAGTATCGGCCTCTGTAACTGGCAAAATTGAACCAGCGGCAGAGGGGGCAGAGGAAGACGAGGAAGCCGGCGGGAAACAGGGAGGAGGAGCATGGGATGCGTCCGTGGACAGGGGAGCTCCAAGGAAAAGTTGCAGCTCGCTCGCCAACTCTTGCCCGTCTTGTTGCTCATGCTGAGTGTCTTCCTGCTCCTTTGTTCCCTTTTTGGTCTGGCCCTTAGTCTTGTTGGTCGTGGCTGGTGGAAGCGGGGCGGTAGGGAGGAAGGCCGGTGGAGCGTGCAGCGTGCCAGCTCCGGTGGGCTGGGGAAGAAAGGGAAGTCCTGCCCCGAAGCTGAGCCCGGACGATGGCTGGGCTGAAAACAGGAGTTGCTGTTGCTGCTGGGTTAGTTGCAGAAATTGCTGGGGGTCGAATTTGTTGAGGAAGGCAAAATAAGCTTCCATCGAGGTGGGGGAATAGAATGTAGGGCCGGAGGGAATAGGCGCATCAGCCCCCTCTTTGCCCGAAACTCCTTGTCCTCCCTGTTTCTTGGAGGCAGCAGCTCCCTCTTTTTTCCCGCCTTGCCCTTCCTGAGCTGCTGATTTGCTCAAGCAAGTCTTCTTCCTGGCCTCCCCTCCTTCCCCCTTTGCGCCCTCCGTTTTCCGCTTCGATCCAGCGCCAGTGCTCGGGCCCATCGCAGGACGAGCAGGCGAGGAAGGGAAGGGAAAGGAGACTATGGGGGGGGCCTGTGGCCTAGGCATTGCTCCCGGAGCAGGGATGGTGGGAGTTGGGGTAGCTGTGGTCTTCGACGGTGTGCACGGGGCCGAGGGAGGGGCGGAGGAAGAGGGCAGGATGGTGGAGAGCTCGCCTACTCCCAGGGGCCCGGGGCCATAGCGATGGGAGTTTCGGCGCGTGATAAGTGAGCTGGAGCGTAGAGGAGAATATCAGGGAGGAGAGATAAGGAAGAGGAACAGAAGGGCGAAAGGGGAAAGAGGGAAAGAGTTGCATTATTACTCGCAGCTACCCCTACTTCTCGGCCCTCCACTTGTCCTCTTCTCCCTTGACCCGTCTTTTGCATTCTTGCACTTACTTGAAGCGGTTTTTGACGCTGTTCTCCGCCCTTCCGGGCAGGAGTTTGGCAATCTCACTCCATTTGTTGCCCAGACGCCGCTGGGCATCGCACAGGATAGCGTCCTCGCCCTCCTCCCATTCCCCTTTCTTCACGCTTCGATCTAGGTGGTTTAGCCACCGCTCTCGGCACTGCTTCCCCGCCCGCCCGGGGATGTGCTGGGCCAGCATCGACCATTTCTTTGGCCGTGGTCCATATCGACCCACAAGCTGCTGGAGGAGGGCGTCCTAAAGGCAAAAAGAGAAGTGAGTCCGAGATGCAAATGAAGCCGCAAAGTTGATGTCCTGCTCTGCCCTCGGCCACCGACCTTTCCATTCTTTTCACACTCTCCCCTCCTCTTTTTGCTACTCCATACCTCCTCAACGGACCAGGGTCCTTTCACAGGGACATCTTTGATCTCGTCCCAGCGAACGGCGCACTCGTCGCTCGAAAAAGAGAAGGGGAGCATGTGCTCCGTGATGGCAGCCCATTTGTCAGTACCGTTCCGCAAAATGGCCTCTCTGTAAGAACGATCACGACCGGGCAAAGAAAGCGGTCAATTAAGGGTTTTATTGTAGGTCCTCCTCACTACCCGCCTTGTCTTCCCATTTTATATCCTCTTTCCCACATTCCCCTGTCGCTTCCGAAAATTTTCCCTTACCTGAGCAAATCATCCTGCTCAGAAGTCCACGTGTGGCCTGTGCGAGAATGGGCGATTGTAACCGGGGCATTTGCAGGTTTCCTACCATTTCCTTGAGATTCTCCCTCCTTCTTCTTTCCTCCTGCTCCCTTCGCTTTGCCAGAGGTCGTTTTGCTGCTCGAACTCGTAGTGCTGTCGCCCCCAAGACTTTCAGTGCTGCTTTGCAGGCTCGGGAGTAATTGGTCCGCAGTAGTACTTGGGAGACTTAATCCACCGCTGAGAGAATGCGTGGATGAAGAAAGGAAGGCTGAGGAAGAGGAGAGCGAGGGAGAAAGCGTGGTTGCGATCGAGGGATGCACGGCGGTGCACATCGGTAAGGAGGGAGGAGTCGTAAAAGCGGAAGAAGATGATAATGTCAGGTCTGAGGAAGACGGCAAAGTGGAGCTTGTAGATGAATCTAGCTGAAGCGAGGTCACCGTTGGTGCGGTGTCCATTGACCTAGATGTCTGTGTTTCCTCCTATTGCTTCTCCCTGTAGCTACGGTTTGAAAGAGGAGGGGATCGAAAGAAAGTATGAAACAGTGAATATCAACGTGAAAGCTACTTAGATAGAGGGACATCTGTATAAGGCCGTTATGTGGAGCAGCTATGTATCGCTCTGAATCATCATCCCTTTTCGAAGGCTCGAAACAAACGCTCGTCTGTGCTCGGATGACATCGTATTACCACCTCTCATTAAAGTCCCTTCGTTGTATGACTCCAAAATATCATAATATTCACTACACAAGGCAGAACCAGGGCTTGATGTCTCTATGAACTCTAAACTAAGACTACTTTGAGCGTCTTCTGAATGTCTTTCCGTCTTATCGGCAGGTACATGTCTTCTAGTACGTGCTACGCTTTTAGAGGACTTTGCAAAAGACACCAGCTTGATAAAGTGCGCAAGTAACAAATAAAGGTTCGGAGGGGTGAACATGCATATCTCTCGTATTCTAGGGAGAGTTGAATCGCTGTGCTCCTTCTCGTCCCGTTCACTTACGCACACGATCTTATATGGTCTCTTCTGGTGTCCCTGCCACTTGTGTTCACTCCATACACAAAGATTGGCGTGCTGACAGAGTAGTAGCTCGCCCTCATAGATTTTCGCAATATAAAACCAGTTTACGGCAAGGATACTCTTAGGATGGAAGCCTGAGAAATATTTCCATCTGCTCCACTGAAACTGCTCCCCCCGCACGAACAGGCACACTTCAAATTTTAAACGGTTTTTTGAATCTACCGTTGAGTTTCTTTTGCAAGGCGTCCCGACATCTTTCACGGCCGACAATACATTTGCGCTGTGATGGTGACAAGACTTTGTGAAGCCCATCAGAAGATTTTAGATATAATTATGTACACACATACCTTCTTGAGAAAGAAGTGGCAACGTTGGAGAATAAATTCCAACAAATGAATGGAGATCTACTAAAAACCCATTTTGAATGAATTTTATGCGGCCTTTTGACGACTAATGTCATCTATTAGCGACGTGGGAAAAATGCGTAGCAAATAAATAAGGACTAGCAGCAGCTAGCGAGACTATAGCACAATACAAGAGAAGAGGCAGGAAAAATAGATTGATGCTACTTCAATTTGCAAGCGCGCCACCAGCTTCCAAGTTGATAATATAGAGGCAGTACGCGAGAAACTATCAGTACGCGAGAAACCATGTCTTATTGATGCCTGTGAGATGCTTAGGCTCGCATAGATCGGTTATCAACCAGGAAAGTGTAGCACAATAAGCGGGATCAATCGCAGCGACAGCAGCATTTGAATCAGTACCACTGCTCATTAAAGCGGTAATCAACCTGTACGTAATAGGAAAGAAAGGAGGCAACAGGAAGACGAATCGCTTAAAACTAGGAAACTGGATATTCAACACAACCAAATGTACCCGTTGAACAATACGAGAAATTTGTCATCAAATGAGGCAGTAGAGGTTAACAGAAGAAGGCTCACACACTTTCAAAAGCTGGGAATGCAGTCTATAGATACCAAAAGAATTCAGGACATCGCCCTTCTACATAAATTATGCCCTTGAATGCACGAGCGCAATCGGGAAAAGCGTTTCCCAATAATTAAATGATGCTTTAGCTAATTAATGCACAAGATAAAGAAGGATTAAATATATCTCTGTGTGTCAACCCTCTTTTCTGTTGTGACGTTACATTTTGTTCAAAATATTGCACTTTTTATTTGTTGCTATTGTGCGCACATACCAGTGATAGATGCTCCGTATGTGTATGGCATTTCTCTGCTACTTTATTGGCATGAATGTCTTCTATCCGTATTGTAGAGCAGATTGCATGCAGTAGAGAGTAAACTTCATCACTTGCTATAAATGCGATCTCTCTTACCTTTTAAAAGTGTCATCGTATTTCATATGGTTGACTGACTATTCCTCTCTAATCATTAAAATCATTTATCCCGTCCTCCCATGTCATAATTCCTTCCTGTGCCATGATGCTGTTTACTGCGTCTTGCATTTTTTGAAAATTGCGGGCACTGTGCGACATCAGCTGGCTCGTTGCGCGCTCGTAGAATTTATCATCTAAACCACCTTTTTGCGTTCGTGACAGGTCGCTTCTGTCTTCTGACTGCGCCTTGTTTTCATCTCCCTTTCGCTCTTCATGATCCATGTTGCCGACCTCCAATGGCCCCGTCATTCTGGATATAACTTTACCGAGTCCATCCGCTGGCGTTGCTATCCCTAGTTTGTGAGAATGCGGACCGCTATTAGCGCGGAAGGAAGGAGTGGATGGATGCTGTAGTAGCCCTGTTCGCGACTCAAGTTTGGGTGTAAAATCATTTTTAGTGGCCATGCCCACGGCATCGTCAATTGTAGGGTCCGCTCCCGTTGACATTCTCGATCCCGTATCCCCTGCCGTCATCGTGTGATCCGACACATCAGCCAGGGGATGAAGGGGACCCATAGCGGGTAAAGAGGATGTCTCAAGGCCAACCAAGAAGCGTTCACCCGAATCTTGATCCATGTCTTCTTTTCCTTGGTGTTCTGTAAGCATTGACAAGACCATTGCAGCCCAATCGGCGTCAGCTACGAACTTCTCATTACCCTTGACGTCACCCAGCCCTCCTGATAAAGATTTGACCTGTTGATGTTCTCCCAATTTTGTTATAGCCTCTCCACCAAGAGCTCCTGACGCTCCTTGGATGATCGGGCCTAACGGACGGATACGGGAAAAGGCTTCGTCTTGCGCAGAGGGATCCACCTGACGCAAAGGCACAAACACGGCGTCGCTTCCATTATAAATAAATGTGGGTGATGAGTCGTTCGAGGACGGATCTCGTGTAAACGGTACAGGGATACGGATAGAGGCGTTCTTCAAGCCTCGCAATGTTCGGGGCCCTTTGGGCCTGTAAGCCGATGGCGCAGGAGGGCGAGCTGCAGAGGGACTGTTGTGACGAGCAACCTCACGGGCTACCTCCAAGAGACTTTTCTTTGTAACTGACGCCTTTCCATCAGCCCCTTTAGAAATATCTCTTTTTCCTCCGCGTTTTTCCACTCCACCAGGACCTCCAGAGTGCGAGGCGATTGCGTCATTCACATTTTTCGCCTCCTTCGAGCCGATTGCATTGATCATAGCGTTGAATGCGTTCGCGTATGCGTCTTGGCTGACAGCATTGGTTCCTGCACCCTTTTCTGACCCCAAACGAAGGGCATTAGTACTTGGGTTACCTCCTTGCTCAGCATTCAACGCCTGTCGAGCCAATTCCCTCACCATGGCCAGCGCCGCATCGTAAAAAATCTGTCTCATTTCTGCTTTCTGTGCCTCGGTAAGCGAACCCGCCAAGGCCGCTCCGACACCGGCTCCAGTGCCAATCCCTGCTTGTTGCAGGCCCCGGAGACTGCGACGACCTAAAGGCACAGGATTCTCTACCTCTGGCTGATATTTAGTCCCTGGCAAGAGTATTTGTTCCTTCTTGACATCAATTTTACGGTCGAGCTTCTTTTCGCCGTTTAAATCTGTCGTTAGCCTTGCAACCGCGGGACGATCGACCGCTAAGGCATTTAAGACCGACTCTAAGTTGACCTTCACCGAGGCGTCGGATCGCTGCGTTTGAGTCTTTTTCGAGGCATGTCGCAAGGCCTGCAACAATTCCTCCCGTGCCTCATCCCGAACTTCAGCAAGCTCCATCTCCGTCATGTCCGGGTTCGCTTGTTGCCGTAAATGACGATGATGCCCGTGAATGCGTTGTCCATGATCTATATCATGGCTTTGTAATGGAAAACCCGTAAGCGCATCAGACCTGTGATGAACTTTCGACCAAAGTTCGCCATCCTTGCCATAGTAGGGACTACCGAAATTGTTACTCGCATCTGCTTCTGATTTTGGGCCTGCTCTGAATTTATCTTCCTCAGGATGGATAAAAAGCCGACGAACATTTGAATGTATCCCATCTGGCGGTGTAGAGGCCTTTCCAAAGACAGACTTCTCTGAGTCTTCATCTCCCTGAATTTGATTGCCATGTGCCGAGGTATGACCCTCTGCCGTTGTTAGAATAGAGGACGAATCGTCCACGTTCCCTGTTGAGTCTTGCTCTTTAGTTGTAGGCTGCTCTGAGGGCTTAGGAGTTTCATCGGAACTTTGGAGAATCTTGTGCGTGTCTTGCGCGTATTGTTTCTCGCCTGTGCTATCGGGAATGTCTTGCATGACGGTGCTAGTGGAGGAATAATGTTCTACTAGATCTCCCACTAATACTGGCCGTTGCGAGTTTTGAAAGGTTTGACGGGTATTCTGTAGATCATCCGATTCTTCTTGCTGCGAGCTGGTAACGACATTTGCGGTCTCCATGTCATGCTTATCTTCATTCAAAGTAGCCCATACGCGCTCGTGATTAATTACATCTTTGGCTCTGGAGATCTGCATCCATTTCAAAGCACGTTTGCGTTGCTCCATATCAGATTCTTCTTTGATCAAACCAAGTTCACGATTTTCAAGACGGTGCGTTCTCATTGGTACGGAGTCATTACGTGACGGATTCTGAACAGTCATGCTCTCGTTACCAGCAAGTGGAGTTGCTTCCTTAAGTGCGTCACTCGATCCCTGAATTTTACCCTTAAGGCAATCATCATTTGGACTGATATATCCAGATATTAGTCGAGCCACGAAGTGTCCAACTTTGTCCCAAACCACTGAAAGTTCCCACAAGGATCGATGGGGAACTTCAGTCACTGCGCCTTGATCCCCATCTCCGGTAGTGGCAGCACATATAATTGCAGAAGTGGATGACGAATGCATAAAAACACCAGGATAAAGCGTCAATGCGATTATCAAAGCACAGTGCAGGATGAGGGGCCTCATCATTGCTATTCTGTAGGTATGCAGGGGAAGTAACTGAGTTGACAAGCTTACGTAAGTCATGAGCTAGAAAGCAAACCGTGAGAAAAACACAATTTAAAGAAGTAGTTGAAATAGGGACACAGGCATTAAACTGGGTTATATAACTATATTCGAGCCGCCCACCAAGCATAATTAAATTCCCCTCCAACCTTGTTCAAGTGGAAGGCTCGAAACAAGTTGAAGTTGGCCGTTAGCGGGTTTCGACGTCTCTCGGATCTGGCTCGAGCGAGTGGTGAGAGCGTTTACTGTCCACGTAGGAATTGTATGTTGACTGCAATTTTGCCCAGTCTTTCAATGAAGGAGTCAAAGCATTGCTGACTTATTTTTGGAGTTCTATAATGGGTCCTTCTCTGTGATTCTTGTACGAGGGGAGGTTGGACAAGTATCTGCGGACCTCCAAATTTACTCCGCTTCCGTCTCTGAATCAATCAGCCACCACAGTGGCACTTTTTCTCCAGGGTTTAAGCCGTGGTTAGCGGCGTCAAAGATCTCACACGTCGATCATGATGGTCGTCCATCACCTTCTTGTGGTATTTTTCTTGATAACTCTGAATACAAGTACTACTGCCCAGAGGCTTCAACATTCTTTACGAGCAATCACACCGGTACAAGGATATAGCAGCAACACAGCGGTTCATTTCAACCGAACGGCGTCTGGAAATCCTTACAATACATTAGCGACAACTCTAGTGGTCGATGGAAACATATTTCCGGAGTTATTGTACAAACAACAACGCGTAGAGTACACCTTTGCCATCCCCGTATCATTAGCTCCCGTTGAGCTCCTGACAGATGGTAAGTCGTCAAAAAAGATAAATTATGATTGAAATATTGTAGATATGATGCAAAAAAATAGCAAATGGATATTGAATTTCTCAATTTTCATCCTCTCGTTCCCGTTCCTATTTTTTTTGGTGCAGGATGGGTCAAGGACTTTGCCGCTTTTCCTTGCCTGCAGTGCTACGTGACGGATGCTGGTTTCTATGCAGAGTATGCAGAGGAAGCCAATACCCAGCTCGCATTTCTTTCTGGAGATCAATTCAAAGTGAGCGCTTCTTTTCTCATAAATCCTTTCTTATTTCGTCATTTTCTCTTCTTCCGATTGGACACTACTGCCTGGTTGCATTTCAAAGTATGTCCTACTTTGTCTTTCCACACTGAAATGATATTTCCCCTTGAATCTTTAAATTTGAAGGCCCTTCTAGTTCATTGTGCTTCTGCACCTGGCAAGGTCACCCAAGCATGCTGGGATGCCGCAGGTCTTGGCGATGTAGAGATTGAGGCGTACCCGTACCAGACTTACGCATACCATGACAAGGTAATGGATCGCGAATGAGACTCAAGGATAATAAAACTATCCTTAATGAAGCAAATATCCGTTTCTGTCTATCTTAATTTTCAGGGCACTACACCTGTCTTCGAGGGTACCTACCTCGTCTTCAACAATGGCGACAATCCAGGTCTTTATCATCTTCCGATTCATTCCTTCTTCGATATATTGTCACAATCATGCCTTTCCTTATACCTAATCTCCCTTCACTTATTCATCAGTTAATATCGAATACGGTATGGCCTATTTCGGCCTCAATCCGGGGGCACCATCAGAGCCTGGGGGGCTCGTGGTCAAGGAGGGAGAGGGTAAGTCGGAAACATTGCTATGATGGTGGGGATAACAACAAAAGTAAAGTCTTGCGAAAAGCATTCAAATCACGTGACGAATGGACATCACTTGTAAATCATTTCCACAGGCCTTACCCCAACCCGCCTGAAAGAGATTGTTCAAGGTTTGCAAAGACCTATCCTCATTCCTAAAGCGACCGACAGCCTCGACATTCCTGGGCAGCGGAAAAAGGAAATTAGGCCGGTAGAGGAAAGAGCGTCTTCTGTCGAGCGCACCTCTAAGTCTTTGCGGGTAGCGGGAAGTAAGGCAGAAAGGGTAGAGGGAACGTGGACAAGATACGCCCTCGCGATGGGCAATGAGGTCGCAAACAACGGTATGTGATATCCTCGTTCGCGCCATACTTGGTCTTCTCTGCTTGGTTTTCTCAAAAGGCGACCGTAGAATTGGTTCTTCGATCAACGAGAGTAATAACGTCTTCGATGATAAATGACAAGCTCTTTTATTTTATTATCTGTTCATAAGGCTACAACTGGTGGTCTAATGCAGGTGCCACGTATGAGGGCGGAAATTTGGTTGCATCATTCCTTTCAGGGGACCTTTACATCAAACTGAGGACAGCTTGTCCACAGACAACAGAAGAAGGTAAGGGATGCCGATTGAAGATGAGGGCTATCAGCATTTACATTCTTTGATACTTAATGGAAAGTCATTTCTTGTTCAGGGCTTCTGTTCGTCACGTCTGATTGTTGGAAACAAGTAAGTAATAATAATATTTCAGGAAATGGAGGACATGGCAGTGAATCCTCATAAACAATTACCGGCTCTTGCTATCCAAATATGTCTTTGTGTCGGTTTCCCCCTACTGATCACATTAATTACTTTCTTCCCTTTTTTCTATAATAATTTGTTTGATCACAAGATCTCCAATCGATCCACGATACCGAAAACTCTTGCTAGTGGGGAGCGCATCGAACGGGATTATGATGGAAGGGCGGATCCAAATGAAGGAGGGTCGTGCGTGGATGGTTGGTGGATCTTCATGAACGAGTCCAAGTCTACAGGGGCAAACGTCGTGAAAGCGGATGCAAATTTTGGTCTGAGAACCTTAGGAAATAATCCACGCGACGCTTAAAACCAAGAACATGATTCGACATGCATCCGACATAATCTATGCCATATATTATCGGAAAGGAACGCAAAAAAGTAATCATGCATTTCCAAAATAGGATGAACTCATTCATAGTGTCTACGAAGATCTGAGAATCGACTTCTTCAACTTGCATTTCGGACATGTTGTACGTGAATAATCTATCATCCTCGCAGCTCTACTGAATTAGAACTATCTTGATTCAATTGCGTAAACTTGAATGCAATATCCTGAGCATCCCTCGTAGCCTTTTGGAAAATCAATCCTACTTTCTCTGTCGTTTGTTTTCGCACCCTATTAGCTACTTCAACATGCTGCCACATCTTGTCCTATGTGCGAATGTAATCTCTTCTGTAAGGTTGATAGACGAAAGGGGTCTTGATTCCAGTAGCCACGTCACACGTATAAACCTGAAGTACAAGATGAATGCACAGGAAGTGTGAGAGGTATGCGCTTTCCAAAGTCATCTAGGGAGGGGAAGAAGGAAGAGAAAAACACGTACCTGCAGGGAGGGATACTGATCTCCAAGGGATGCTTTCATGAAATCGATGCTTAAACATTTGTTTTCCTAAAAAAAGGGATTATGGACGACTCAGAAAAGAGAAGGCGCTTCATATTCCAATTTCTAACATCCCTTATCGACATATCAACCGATTCGTATGCCTGTAATCATGCATTTCTTTCTATTTTTTTCCCTACTCCAAGACCCTCCTTCACACCTTTCCGCAATTAGATGTGACGTATTCAATTGACTGTTTATCTGAAGGCAAGCCCATGGCCATGTGACGGGCGAGCATTTCTCTTTCGATTACTGCCGGGACAGCTGGGGGGTTGTTGTTCATGAGCTCATTCTTGTAAGGAAGAAATAGAGCATGGGGATCATCTAGTCCGCAGGCCTAGGGTGTCGAGGCAAAATTGAAAGGTTTAAATTTTGGCATTGGTGGGACTGATGGCAAGAGAAAGAAAGGGACCCCAAATAAAGGGAAGCTGTACAAATTTAGAATCGGCTCCAAAGGTACTGACCTTGACAATATCTATCGACGTCGCGCCCACGATTTTATATCTTCTATCCCATCCTTTTCCGTAGAAATTCTCCATGTCTTGGGCAGTCAAGCTTGAGTAAGTCGGACCAGGAACAAAGACGTCAGCGGCAGCGAAACTCCAATATCTCGAAGGAAAGGGAGGAAGCGAGAGAGACAGGAAGAAGATTTAACACTAGGATTTTGGAGCCTAAGCTGCACTGATTAACGATGCAGATCATAAGAATAAAAAGAATTCTATAAAAAAATTTATGAATCAACTCTTATTTTGATCCATAAATTTATGATGGCCCTCATCGCTCGTGTTGCAACCTTTCTTTTCTCACCTGGTGCTGTAATTGGTGACATTCCAAACAGGCCGAGGCCCCTCAAAAAGGCCCGTGGCTGTCAGCGGCGCAGTACCTTCAATAACCATAACAAAGTTTCCACCCAACTGCAACGATTCGACGAAGTGTAGAAAAGAACTTCATCAACGACGGAAGGAGGAAAAGCTTGACGGGAAGGAGAGCAAGGACACGTCCTTACCTGCTCGCCATCCGTACACCAATACAAATAATTCGAATCAAAATTCGCGAAGGGCACATAACTCGCACCGCTGTCAACAACCTGGACATTAACATCAGGAAAGAGAGCTGGATGATCCGCCTCCCTCTTTGACAGCAGGTGACAGGATCGTAGTCGATACCATTGAGAATGATAAATCAGGTAGCGGAAATCGTAGACGGTCCAACCTTTGGAAGGAGTAAGAATGTGACTGAGGGTTAAAATCACACAGTTTCATTGCCATTACAATTTTGCAACAATTGTTATTCGCTTGAACTGGACAAATTTCACTCCCCTTTCACACAACTCCGTTGTTCCTCATCCTCGACCAAGTTCATTTCCCTCCTTCGTTTCCTATCCATTCTTGAAGCATACAGGAAGTCAAATAATCGCTCATTGCGTTGCAAATCTTCTTCCCGCTCGACATTGGGTCGCTCACGCTATCTCTCGCTCCAACTGCTCTTCAAGGCCTCTTACCGATTTGTCTCATCGCTCTGTTGAACTGGTAGCGAGTGGTGTCTGAGCACGGTTGCAGTTCTTTCCAGGTCTGGCCCAAGTCATCTAGAAAGGAATAGAAGGGAATACAATAATTTGAAAATGGAATAATAAGTGAGACAACCTCTATGTGCTCGGAAACTTTGAGTGAAAATGGATCCAGTCACACGGCATCAAATTTTCCAAAATCTATCTTGTAGACTTCGCCCATGCCAGACCGTAGCTTCCCGTCCCTTTATCTTCCTATTCTCTCACCAGTGTACGATATCACGGGCCGATCCACCCCTCCCCACACGCTGGGAGGCTGCTCAGTGGTGTACAGACGCAGCATTACAACGGATAGATTGTCCACGAAGTCCTGAGGTGGGATGAGAAGAAAATAGCTTTTTAGGTGAAGATTAATAAAACGCCCTCCAGCTGGCTTTGGAATCTTTTGGCCCGTTTTTGGCATATGTCCCCCAATGACCAGCACTCCACCTGCGCACCATTACGCGGGAAAAAGCCGCCTGCGTCGCGTTGGTGTGATCCTCACTTAGACCCCGAACTTCGTTTGGCCAACCCTTGTTCCCTGGTGAGAGCACATTCGGGCAAAGATTGGGGTTGGCATTTACTTGATATGGGCATTCGAGCTTCTGCTCTTGCCTCTCTTCGATTACCATCTCTTGTCACGTAGATTTCGTACGTCCCGGCCCCCTCTTCTGTCGTCTCCTCCCTGTATGGGTTCTTGCCCCACGAAGGATCGATGCGAAGGTCGGGGAGGGAGGTTAGCGGATGACCCCGCAAAGAGTAGGTTTCGTAGGAGAAGTACACGACTCGAGGGAAGGAAGCTGAGATCTGTGTTCGCATAGAGTGGGGGGAAGAGCGTGGTAAGGACAGCATGGAGCGACCTTTGAAAACTACTGCCCGCATTCTTTTTTCTCGACGAGCTTTTGAAGCTTACAACCTTGTAAACCCTGTGGGGATGTGCTGCGAAAGATAACAACTGAGGTTGATATACTGCATTGGGGTCGAGAAGTAGGGGCGTGTAGATGCTTTCATCCGTGGTCGCGTCCCAGGCACAGAATGGGTATTCACTGCTTGCAATCGCAAGATCGGCATAGCGTGATTCCATACGCCAGCGGGATCGCTCGGATCGAGAGGAAATATTTCCGTCGGGCTGGGAGGAGCTAGAGGTATTCTCTTCATGGTTGTTTGAAAACGAAGTGTCATAGGAGGAGGTTTTGGCAGAGCTACCATGATCCCATCCATGCTCGCCCTCACTCTCAATAATGGGTGCGACAGGGGTATCAGCCCAGAGAGGAAGAAATGGGGGGAAAGGAAAGAGGGCTGCTTTCTCCTCGTGAGAAAGGTCGAGGAACGAAGCAGAGGGAGCAGGAGCAGAGTCAGAAGGAATCGCATCTATCTCCCTTTCTTCAAGGTGTGTAGAATCCAAACCTGGAGCCGAATTACTGATACGTACACGTGGAAACGCGAGATTAAGGAGAGAAAATAAATCTTGTCAAAATCAAAGATCATTACATCGTCCCTCCTGCTACACAAAGAGTTGAACAACTCACCTCAAGACGACGCGAGAGAGAATTAGGAATATGAGAATCGGTACGCAGCGGCCGACGATAGACCGCCTATGTTGCTCCTTGATTAAATACGACACCATCGTTTTCCAGGGGTGCGTCTGAATACTCCAACAGGCTAACAATTTGAAAACATCTGTGTCCTGGCGAGTGATGAAGAGACCACTTATTTACAGGGACAACATACCCAATGCAACAAATGCAGCGTAACATGCGATTATTTAAAGCTAGTGATAGTCTAGAAACCGTACATTTTGCCATGTGATAATGTAGGCTAAGCCCAAGACGTTGTTTGGTTGACGATACGCCTTCACTTTTGCTCTGGAAGTGGAGCAGCGAAACATGGTCAAGTCATGCAGCCCCAAAATTTCAATTATTTAATAATTTCCATATCCGAAATTGTAACTAAAGCACTAGATATCATACACTCTAAAAGTGAGTATATTTCCCATTTCTAACATAAACACCTAGGGTGGCGGCCGCCGCCTCAGCCTCATGATGCTCAAAGCCTGCGCTACGAGTATTAGAAGGGGGAAGGCCGTTAGGTTTTCAAACGTTCACACGACCGTTTCTCAACTGTTACGCGTTCATGATGCACGATTACTTTTTCCTATTATCGCGTTACTTGTTGCCGGGCTGCATAGATGCAACAAATATCTCATCGTTCTGACCCAACAATCGCACAAGACAGTTACGATGCGGAATAATTCTGCTTCTGAAGAAGCGGCCTCCTCGCAAGATGGGCATAGTTACACTTTCACTTCCCGCATTTATCAACCTTTACACGATGTTAAAGGCACAGATTGGAGGGGAGATTTGAGCTCTGCTTATAGTTCTGCAAGTGAAGAGGAAAACGATGAAATAGTTTTTATTGTGGATGGATGTTCAGTAAAGCAGCACCAAGATGGCTCCGACAGGGCAACGCCCATCCACGAATCTTCAAAGGTCCAAATACCTAGCCTCGAGGCGTCTACAAGTCATTCAACGCCATCACTGTCCCAAAACTATAGTTCTCGAAATGCCATTCTTTTTCTTGCGTTGGCAATGGCAGTACTTATGGGCATTATTACTACTGTGGTAATGACAGTCAATGATTATAGCATGCAGAAGACATCTATCTACGATGCTCGTTCCAACGTTCGTGGTCAAGAAGAAATGGATGAAAGCTCACCTATGTCATCAATAGTCAAGAAACAGCCAATATCAGAAAATTTCGTGAGCTACGAAAGTCAATCCATAGACTCATCTCCTAAAGTTGGACCCGCAGTAGTCCACTCTGCCATATCTGTCTCAAACACGTCTTTAACAGAGGATGAATCAATAATCATAGCAGGTGAAAGGACGACAGATACCTCTGAGACTAGTACGATCATAGCCTTACCCATTGAACAAACATCAAATTCTGCCGAAAATGTGTCCACGAGTGGTAGCACTGATTCTAATTCGAAACCCTCGCACGTTCGTCATTTAAGGCTGGTTCTCCCTCAAACAGAGTGGAAAGACTCGTGGATTAGGCCGTTAACGCGCCTTGTGGAGGTTTTGGAAGATACAATAAATGGATTCGAGCAAGGCTGGAGCGAAGGGGAGGAAAATAGAAGAGGATGAAGCCAAGGACCGAGGAGGCCCCGATGAAAAACGAAAATGAAACACGTGAAGTAGATAGTGAAGACTGAGCTGTAACTGGTCCAAAAACTACCCCCAAAATTGAATCTCATTAAGTAAACGATCATCGTGACACGATCAATGAAGACAATTGGGACTTAATCATTCTCTATGCTATCATGAGAATTCATATAAACAGTAGGACATTTGCATCTTTAATACCATGAGCTGCAAAAGGCCATTCCTTTCTCTTCTGAATAGAAAATTCTTTGTTCAATTATGTCAGAGTGCAAAAAACCTCAGAATCGTCTCAAGGACAATGTAATGATCAAGGTAAACTCTATCTATTAGGAAGAGACGGAAAATGTAGACTCTAAACGTCATTGCACATTCGTCTTGATTGATCAAAATATTTGCGCACCATTCTTGCAGGAATTTAGGCACATTACCAGGGGTATGACACTAAATTGTATGGCAAATCGCCGCTCTTCTTCATCATCTCATGTTGTTTGACGCGTCAAAGGCACCAATAGACAGAGTGTAAGAGACGAATTGTAAACATATGGCCCTATAATCTTAAGTTCTATTTTTCAAAATCGATTATGGGCAAAAAATGATACTCTTTGGATTTTGAGCTATTCTTACACTCTTTACTAGGCATAGCCTTTGTAGTCCTTCTTGAGGTAAATCCTGGAAACTGCTAAACACTCCGTCTTGCCAGCATGTATTTTCTGTTCCTGACCTTTTCCGACCCCCTCTCAGCATTCTGCCTATTATGGCCTACCAGCAGATAGCAAAGTTTTTACTTTAGTAATCGCCATACGACTCTCGCTGTCCCTTGTTTCCGTGGGTGCCATACGTCATGTAGTCTTCATAGCTTGGGGTATAGTTAATTTTGTGATCCGGAAAGTAAGTGTCCCACTCCTCATCTTCGTACTCGACCGGCTTATTCGACGACCACTGCTCTGCAAGCATACGCCGATTTGCCCATATTTCTGCGTCTTCTGCGTCAAAAGCCCCTTCCAGCTGGAGTAACTTGCGGGTACCCGTGGGTGGAGTGGATGATGATGCGGCCCCCTCGCGGTTCACAGATTCGGCCGCTGCGGCGATATTAGAGAAAAGAGCTTCAAGCTCCATGTTGCCTTGGATACGCTCGTCCATACCTGCCTCACGCACCACGTCCCGAATCGCTTGCATTGCCGCACTTCGAGCATCAGACCGCAAACGCTCAGCTTCTGTAGCAGTCATATTCATATCACGCAGCGCCACGAGCATGCTTTGGATCAAAGGCACATCATTGGGCGACGCACTGTCCTCAATGGTATTGGAGGCATCAGTACTGTTGAGCTGCTGTGCACGATCGAGGAAGGACACGGCGGGCTTGTCAAGTAAGATTAAATCATCCAGGCTTAAAAGCGTTGCCAATGCATCCTCGACCTTCTCCTCGTCGTACGTCTCTGTCACGTCATCCATACTCCATGCTTCTTTTTCAGCGTCTGCGAGTAAGTTGCTGTCAAGTCCTGCATCGCGGGCTGCATTCTTGAGAACTTGGAGCGCGGCATCACTACAGATAATGGTGTGCAACAAGGAGAGAATATGAAAAGAGGGATGAATTTCATAGAATGACATTTTGTCGATTGATTCCGATTACGATTTCCACATCGACCCTCTTCGTGTGGGCATCTTACCGAGCAATCATCCGCAACTTTTCTAAGTCTTCCTCGGATAGGTTCTGGAGACGTTGGAGTACACGATGGTGGCTGCCATGGGTTTTGTGAGCCATCTTGGCAACGTGAGCGGCGTGTGCTGCCCGTGCCTCCAGTTCTTTTTTGGTCTTCTTGACGTGGGCAACATGAGCATTAGCAGCCTTTGTGATTTCTCGGTGGATCTCCTTCTCTTTCTTTTCAAGATTCTTATGCAACTTATGACCTTTCGCCTTGAGAACCGCTTTCTCTAGCTGATGAGCAGCATGCGCTGTCTTTTTTTTGGTGTATAGCTGAGCAACCACCAGAGGGTTGACATATTTTTTGTTTTTATTGCTATGCTGATGATTCTTTTTCGAGTCGTGCTTGTGCGTGTGGCCGATGTCATCATGACCGCGAGACTTATCAAGCGCGGTTTTGGGTTCTTTAATGCCTGTGACAGCCGATGCACTTTTGTCCTGGTTTATATGTAGCTGATATATGTGGTATATCATAAGCATTTCAATTCGATATACTTTGTACGTCTGCAATGCTAAACTTACTTTGTCGTCCTGCATAGCTTTGGAATTGTCGTCCTCAGTGTGAGTGACTGGCATCACCTGATCTGGCACATAAGCAAATGTTGGAGGAGC